GTTTCAATTTTGTTGTTGTTGTTGAGAGAATCCACAGACAAGAGAGTCACAGTCAAACAATTGATCTTGGCTTGGTTTGAACTCTGGTTTTGGGTGTGCAAGAGTGAGGGGGGGGAATTACCAGCCAGGGCCTGTCATTGTCAAACAAAAAAAAAAGTTTCAACATTTTGTTTGTCATTTGAACATAGAGTATGATTTTTCAAGGGCCCCCAAATCGAGTGTGTGTGTGTGGTGCTGGCAAAAGCTTCGCGTGCCGCTTTTATTTGTTTATAATTTATATTATTTTTATACTTTTTCGAGTGTGTCAGACAGAGCAGAGCCTCCTTTGCTGTACTGTACTGTACTGTATTGTTTTGAAGTGTATTTCGTATAGTAGATTGTTGATGGCTAAAGTATGTCGATGTGTCATATTACCCCCTCAACACAAAATTGTTGAGTGAGTCTCTCTCTCTGTCGTCTACTCAGGGGGGTACACTCGTACGCGTACGCGTACTCGTATCAAATAATTTGACACATTTAGCTTTTCTTGTTAATTTGTATAATGCTTCAAGCATTTACTTGTGACAGTTGTGTAAAATGTTAAGCAAATAACACGCACTCCACAGCACAAAACAAAATAACACAGCACAACACATGACGATGATGATGATGATGATGAATGGTTGTTATAGCTGGCAACTACTTTCAAACTACAGTGGTAATTGCTTAGGCAGAGAGGTATATGTATGACTGATAATACATATATTTAATCTATAATACTTAATGTTAGTTATTTATCAGTCATCTTTGATATTTCATACGATTTTGGATGGCAGAATGAAATTAGTTCCTAGGTAGATTTATTACTGTAATTCGTTGTATGCCTGCCTCAACAACAACAAAAAACTATAAACTTGCTATAATGAGAGGTTGTGTTGTTGACAGAAGCTAGAACATCTACAAATAATTCTATACATTTGCATGAACCTAAGGTCAGACCAAATAACTATTCACTCAGCTAAATCACCACCCATTGGAATGGCATTTTTTGCATTATATACATATACTCTCTATCACAGAGTAGCTTAGCCGTAAAGGTTAGGGGTAGAGACTCTCTCCATCTCTCCATGCTACGACTGCTTTTAACTATAAACCTAAACAGTTCTCAGTTTTCACACTTCCTTATAGGCAATAAAAGCTGCACATAAAATCAGACCTACCCTGACTGAACCCACCCAAAGCTTTTCACACACCTTTAAAATACAAATTAGCATTAAAAATACTAATAATAATATGGCGTTAATGAAATATAAGTAAATCATGACAGCTGACTCTGCTGTGGCTGTTTAGTCTGAAGTATCTAATTAAATTTGATGCATTTAACAAGTGACTGTGACTTGATTGTGCAAAAGGCATAACTAAATGCATTCGACCCATGGCTACCTATACGAGTAGTAAGTAGCTTTTGTTGTTGCTGTTTGTTCACCTTGTTGGGTGCACACATTTTCTTCCCACAAGGTGTAACATTTTAATTAACACAATATACATAATTTGTACAGACTGCACAGAGAGTAGTTTGCTCTTTTTATGCGAGTGCGCTAATTGAGTGTTAAAAGTACGCGGGTTTCATTTATGTGCAGACTCGGATTACAACGTTTTAGCAAGTCCATTAAACAAACAAACAACAAAAAACATAGCATAACAAAAAAAGCATTTTAAACAAGCCAGCCCATTATAAACATTGTTTGCCATAAAACTAAAGTTGATTTGTATGGCCTCAATTATTATATGGAACCCCCCCCCCAGGTCGGGGTATGGCTATGCCGCTTCACCAAACAAACCCCTCCCTCCTCATACGATATGTTCGTACGTTTTATGGTGGCCATTGTCCAATCATAAATTAAACACATCCCCATATGGCTCATTGTATCCACACACACACACACACACATACAATATTTATAAACTAAAATCACAAACAAAAACACTGCAATGTGCGACAGGAATATGCGTAATACCGAAAATCAATACGGAAACCTTATCAACATGGAAATAAATTATGACTAATTGTGCTAAAAACGAGACAGAATGTGACGGCAGTGGAGCTCTAGAGCTGGAGCCGGAGCTGGCGAGCTGGCGAGCTTTGTGTTTGTGTGCCAATAATTAATAAAGTGTTGATGATGGCGGAGTGGGTGATTAGGGACGGAGGGTTCGCGATGTACGCTGTATTGGGTAGTTGGGGTTTTCTGTGAACACAAATGCAAATCAAATAAATAAGCAAAAAAATGTGCCACTGACAATTCGGGTTGACTAATGGAATACGCTATAAATACATGTAATGGAGAATAAATATATTGCAAATGCAGTTGTGCAAAGAAACTGAATTTCCTCTGAATTTTATTAAATAGGAAACTCATTAATTAATTTTTTCTTAGAAATATTACGAAAATACAGACTCACTGCGACACTTCTCAATCTTTCAACATAAGGGGGGAAATTCAAATAAATCTCTTTTCAACATAAATCAATTCTCTAAGGATTCAACTGCCCCTCGGCTGCTTAGCCAAATCCCCTGACACTTAAATAGTTTACCCACGAGATTCTTTTTTGCTCGAGTAAAAAAAAATCCCAGCGAATAGCTCAAGCTACCCTTTACGCACTCCCTGCCAGAGATTGTAGGGCATCCGAAAGTACTCTTAAGTACCGATAAGAAATTGTTGCCATTTTTACAATAGTATCATAATAATTTATGGCAGCCCATTGAGTGTTATAAAAGCTTCAATATTTTGTAGTTTATGACTTGCGCCAGTTGGGGCATAAGCGTAATTACGCCCAAACCAGACCTACATACATACAAACACCAGCGGACATAAATATAAGGCGTACGTCATTATATTCCATGTACGTGTGTGTGTGTGTGTGTGTAGTTGTACGGATGAGTTATGGAACGTTCAACTCTTGCCTCAGTTTTTGGTTTTTCCCTTTTCCTTCCGCTTCCTTCTTATTTTGGGTTTTGGTTGCCACTCACTGCTGCTGCTCCTCCTCCTCCTCCTGCTCCTCCTCATCTGTTGCCACACTCTCCTCTGTTGGCTTCCTCTGTTCTGCTTCTCTCCTTTTGCCCTATGGTCGTCTGGTTGGTGTTGTGCCATAATTTATGGCATGCGGCGAAATGGATTTTATTGCAAAAACCGTGTTTCGTATTTATGGCAGTAACTTTGAGTGGGTAATATTCATTTCATTTATGTACACACTTACGACTCTCACGACTGACTACAACGATGACTGCCATTCGCCGGCTTTTGTCGGCACTCCTCCAGTCCCTCTTTGTACTACTCAATCGGTAATTTTCAATCTTATAGCTTTTTCGCGTCTCGTCTCGTCTGCCTGCCAACCCCTGCCTGCCTGATTATGTATATTTGCGATTGTGCTACGAATAGATTGGCCGAGAAGTGTCCCAATAATGTTTAGCCCTCAATTGATTAGCCATAAGCGTAAAGCAATCAAAAGTTTAGTTACAGAGGCGGTGTACGAAAAGGATTGTTGCAGGGGCAAACATATTGCAATATTTATGGAGTATTATTTATGAAAATTGGAGAGTTATTTTCGTTGATAAGACACATATTGATTTAAGAACAAAATCTTTTATTTGGTTAAAGAATAAAAAAAATAAAAGTCAATTAAAATTCAATATAAAATACCTCTTGAATGGTTTAATTTCCTCTTTCTTTAGTGGGGGAATACTTCAAGATTTGGAGTGACTTTCTGCTCCTCTCTCCACTGCCCTGAGTACGTGGGATTTACTTAGGAGAAAAAGTTTGAGAGCCATTGGGCTATACATAATTTCTGAAAAGAATGAGGGATATTTCCATGTAACAAGAATGTAATGTAAAATTTAATTAAAAGTTGAATTAAATCTACCATAAATGAAGAATGCAGAATATTCTCATAAATTAAACAAAAATCATATTCATAATATTCAATTTTGATTTTCTAGCACAAATAAATGCCAGTAAAATTCAGTCTAGATATCTTCTTAAACTTGAAACCCCCTCCTTATCGACTGCGCCACTGTCCCCTATATAATAACGTCGCCACCCTATTGTGTCATTTGTTTATTTTATGAGTAATAAATTTATTGGCTCATTAAGAATTCATTGCGGTCTCATTAGAAAATGGCCTGATTAAATATTAATAAGCATTATTTTTAGAAACGAACAAATAGAAACACTCCTCGAAGTGTGGAAAGAGTCTTTAAAAATAATATTGGGATGTACCCAATTCTTGATTTGAACAAGAATTTTCACTTTCTGTGTATTTCTTTGGCAAAGATAAATATTCTGTGACAGAAATTCCTGCATTTAAAAATATAAAAAACCCAATTTACATTCCTGATATCTTGGCTTTTCCATCATTTTAATATATGTACAGCGTACACCCCTGCGGGCCAACCCCAAGGGTCTAGTTAAGTTTTTTCCGTTTGTTTTTTTTTTTATTATTGTGGCTTTTAGCACCACATTGGCATCGTTATATATTAATGTATTTTTTATATCTTTGCTGCTCGTATTTTTTGGCCAACATTTTAATGGCCTCATAATTCCATTTATTTTGTCTACGTTTGGATTATAAATATTTATGGTTACGCCAAAGCAGAACGGAACAGAACAGAACCTTATTTATGTGGTTAAAGAGGGTCAAATGGGAATGGGAAGTGGATTGAAAAGGAGTGGAGTGGAGTGGGAATTTTGTTGTGAAAGATTACAATCTGTGCAACTGTGGCGCGACACAACGTGCCACAAGGCAAAAACCAATCGTTTATCCGTGGGCACAGAGAAGTGTTTTGCAGCACAAAGAATGGAAACGAGTGGAGATGGTAGATGGCAGATGGGGAGGAAAGATGTTATCTGTGATGCAAAACGCACGATATCGAAGATACAAAAAAACACAGCACACATATATAATCGTATCTACCTTTTTTATTTTCCTTTACTTATGCTCTCTCTCTCGTTATTTCATCGTTACAGCTGGACAACAAAAGCAGTCCATTGGCGCTATTGGCGCAAACATGCAGCGCCATTGGAGCGGACACCACAAATCCCAAGCTGCTGGCGGCCAATATTGAAAAGGCCACAAAGCAACAGCAGCCAAAGGGTGGTGGAGGAGGCGGCAATGGTGGCGGTGGTGGCAGCAACAACTTCGGTATGGGGGATAACAACGCACGCGATAAATCCTCGCCGGTTAGCAGTCATTCATCCAGCGTCAGCACCGGTTCTGTGGAGCAGCAACAGCTGCCGCCGGCACACAGCAGTAAGACCCCAAGCACCTTCAAGCCCTACGAGCCCAACAATAACCATACCACCATCACCGCCAATGCCACGAACATTGCCACCGATTGCGGCGCCACAAATCTCACCAACAGCGGCAACGGCAACGGCAACGGCAATGGGCAACAACAGCAGCAACAGCAGCAGCAGCGTGTAAAGACGCCCAAAACGACGGCAAACGGCCAGAGATGCGATTCGAACCAAAGTGCCAGCTCTCACAGAGAATCGCCCACAGCTGGCGGGGCACGAGACTCCCTAAGACGTACCCCCAACTCATCATCATCAGGTGGCGGGGGTGGTGGTGGTGGTGCAGCCCCTGGCCAACTGAATGGCAGTCCCGGACTACCCTCATCGTCTGCCCCCTCCGGACGCAGCAATTCCAAAGAGTCGGCAGCAACAATGCACAGCCCCAGTGCAGCAGCCCATGCCCATGCAGCAGCGGCCCAGGCCCAGGCTCAGGCCAGCTCCAATCGCCTCCAGGAGGCGGCTATGGCCGCTGCCAAGGAAGCCAACTATGTGAAAGCTCTACATGCAGCCAGCCAGCAAGGACAGGCCTCGGCAGCAGCAGCAGCTGCTGCTGCATCCTATTATCCTCCAGGTGAGTGCAACGAGGAATTACGAGAAAGGAGAGCATATTCCGCCCCGAATTTAGGAACAGCCGTTGCAGGGGGGCCGTTGCCGGGGCACACCCTGGTGGGGTAAATGTTCGGTTGCATCAGTGAATTCTGTAATTTTGGCCAGCAGCAAAGCCAAGTGCAAATGGCAAATGCGAAATTAGGAAAATAGCCTTAAAGGGAAATATGGAAAATTATACATGCAACCAACATCAAAAGGAATGGGGCAAAGGCAGGGCGGGTCTTGTAGCTTAGGCAGAGATCCTTAAAGGCTTTAGTATTGTAGGGGAATATTCCATGGGATATATTCGCATTCCACTGTGGTAGAAATAAATTGCTGGGAATATTAGTTCACAGAATCCAATTTGATGCCTCCACTCATCCATATATTTTTTTGCTTTCCCTTCCAGGCTATGGCAGTCCTTATCCCATGGACCTGATGACCGCCAGCTCGCTGATGTCACCCCATCATGCCATGTTCAAGGCGTCGGCCATGAATCCATATCTGAATTATGCCCGGCTCAAGGGTCTGTCGGAACAGTCGATGATGGCGGCCACACCGAATGTGTGCCGGGATCCCTACTGCACCGGCTGTCCGGCCAGTCCGCATTATATCAACAAGGCGGCCGGTCAGCCCTGCCCAGCCGGCTGTCCGCAGTGTGAGGTGTCGGGCGGTGGCTCGGGTGGCAGTAAATCGGGTGGACAACAGGGCTCGAGTGGTTCCTCGAATGCGGCAGCAGCGGCGGCTGCAGCGGCCGCCCAGTCATATCACGCCCAATTGGCCGCCCTGGCCGCCGCCTCACAGATGCCCTATGTGTGCTCGTGGATTGGCAGCGATGCGGCCTACTGTGGCAAGCGCTTTGGCACCTCGGACGATCTGTTCCAGCATCTGCGCACGCACACAGCCTCGGTGCCCGATGCGGTGCTGAGTGCGGCGGCAGCCGGCGGCATACCGCCCAATCATCCGTTGTTCCAGCGCACATATCCGACGCCACCGCTGAGTCCGCTGTCGGCGGCACGCTATCATCCGTATGGAAAACCGTCGATGATGCCGCCATCGCTGGCACCGCCCGGCATGCCGGGTCTGCCACCACATCCAGCATTGGCCCAGTACTTTGCCCCATATTCGTTATACGGTCCGCGAATGGGTTCATCGCATCCGTAGTTGTTGGAGCGTGAGGGTGGGTCGGGAACGGGATCGGGAACGGGATCGGGATCGGGGGATGGGCCGAGATCGGCATTCAGTCAAGTAAATAATCATTTCTCTTGAGTCGCATATGAATATATATATATGTATATGTATATGTATATCTCTAAATCTATATGTTTTGTGTATATGTATGTGTGTGTGTGTGTGTGTGTGTGTATGTCTGACTCACTCGTGAAACGAAAAGCTAGTGATCTAATGTACTATAGTTACATACAAATGTGTTTACAATTTTAGGAGTCTAAGGAGTCTACCATATAATTGATATCTGAAACAAACAACAAAAATTCTGATGAGAAATGCAGCAATACTGCTCGTCGTCCTTGTGTGTCGCGTCCTTTTCTGGATGTAATTATATGCTTATGTATGTGTAATTTTAATATTATTTATTACATTCAAAAAACAAAACAAAATAAAACAAAAAGCCCAAGCGAAAAAAACAAAACAAAAAACAAAACAAAATAATTGAAGAATTAACGAAAGAAATGAAAAGATTGTCCAAAAACTTAAAGTTGTAAAATTCTTGTAAAATATATGATTAAATGAATATAAATTAAATAAATAAATAAATTCGATATATATATTGTATGTATAATTATGAACAATATTTTAATGTTCAATTAAGTCACTACGAAACAAATCAATAAATCAAAGAAAATTAAATACCAAAGAAGTTTTTTTTTTTACTTTGTGAATGTGAATTGGGAAGAGGGTGGGGTAGTGGAGAAAAGCCAGATAAAAGTATTAATTGTAAGTAATTGACTTGAGATTAGCAGCCTGTGGAACCATCTGACAATGCATCGTTCAGAAAATGCACAAATTCATAAGGAAATATAGAAAATTATAAATCAATTTTCTATAATTCAACTGAAATGTAAAAAAAAAATAAAATCAATGTGGATGTTAATCTATAATGTGGCATGGTAGAGACTCACTTAACATTTACTCTCTTTTGCTGTTCTATTAACTTGCCGAATCGGCTTAAACTGTTGTCCGCTCCTTATATGTATGTAGCTCTTGCGGTGGCACATTTTATTGTTTTTATTTTCAGTCACAGCTTACTGTTTTCCGCTTTTTATTTAGTTATTTGCGGTGCATCTTATTGCCTTTCTTTTCACTCACGCACCTTAACTCACTTTTTTGCCGAAACCGCCAAACTGCCGAAACCGAAACTTCACTTATCACAGAGTGAGATTTTTCTCTTCCGCTCTTTCAACAGTTTTGCGGGACATTTTATTGTTTTTAGTTTTCGCTCACTTTAACACTTTGACTCACTTTGCCGACCTGCACGCATTCTCACTCTAACAGAAAAAAAGCAGAAAAACTCAAGCTGAAGGGCACATCACGCCATGGATGGGTCCCGTTATTTTGTTTCGCCTTATTTTCACTCAAATTCCCATAACTGGAAACGAGCGGGAGCGGGAAGCAGAGCTGAAACTGTGACGCAATTGCTGCTTTCACATAGAAGAAAACATTGAAATGAATTGTTTTCACACTTGTTGTGATCTTTTTTAAATTGTTTCTAATCCGTTGGCTCTCCACACACATGGGCTTCCATTTGGCAGAATTTTCTAGCACGTTTCATCATTTTTCCTGCTGTTCACAACACTTTTCCATCAGATTTTCTTTTTAAATACTTGTACACTTATCAAACGGGTTTTTGTAGAGCTCTCCGCGCATTTTTTACTATTTTTCAGGACTCGAAAAAACGTGCATCTGCGCCAGGAGCTTATATTTGACTTAGCTCTCTCTTCCCACTGCAAGCGGTGAGAGCATTTCAGAGTGCAACATTTGCAATGTGCGTGTGTGTGTGTGTGTGGGTTGCGTTGGCGTATGTCTAGAATCTGGAAGGGTGACGATTTACAGTGCGGCAGAATGAGATCATAAGCATAAAAAAACATTAATTTGAAGACTTCAAGTGGAGGAAAAAGTTAACTGGTTAAAGGATAATAAATAAGAATTATAAATATAGATTATACGATTACATATTAGCGTACAAAAGTCTATTAGTTTTTTTTAATTTTCTATCCTCTGTTCCTACTCTGGTGTGGTGTGGTGGCGTGGTGCAGAATGAACTAAAGCTTGGGCGAAAAGTTAAGAGCGCACCTCGGCAGAGAGGATCTAAGAGCGGCTTTGATTTGGCAGCTGTGTGCGTTGTGCTTTGGTCTATGGCTCATTCTCTACTCTTTGGAAGGGTGGGCGGGAGAGTGCGTGGATGAGATTAGAAGCGTACTTTTGCTCAGAGTCTATTGATGTATGTATGTATGAATGTATGCATGTAAGCGCTGTAAGGTGCGTGAACGAAAAGGAGTGTGTGGAAAGAGGAATATCATACTTGAAGTTGAGTGATTTTCGTTTTATATGTATGCTCTCTTTCTGTTTCTGCTCACTGCACTGCGGTGATGTCATTTAAATGAGAGCGCCGCTGAGAGAGGAAGTAAGAGCGGATAACGCGGTTTTATCTATGCATTAAATAAATGCAGCTAATAAATTAAATATAGGTATGTACATTGATGTAAACTTTAATGTCAAAAGAGCTTAAGCAACAATCCATTTACACAAATACCAAATAGCTTAGTAACATTTTTTAATGCCATGCATTACACATGTATGTACACATGCAACCATTAAAACTAATGTCTTTGCATTTGCCCGAGGCCAGAGCCCAGTCAAAACACTTGCTCAATGTCTGGAAATTCAACACAAAATCCATCAAAACTCAAACATAACAAGTAAAGTGTGCCCATTCTCGCAATTTCCTGTCATTTTTCTGGACAAAGCACTGCATTAGAAACTGCCACAAACAGTTGGCTAAAAAAAAACAAAAACCCAAAAAAAAAAACCCCAAGCAAACAGCCATATCTGAAAAGCTTTAAGTCATAGCCAAAAGGCAAACAAGAGCAAAACCTAACAAGAAAAAAAATATATGTATATATATCAGTATATGTGTACGTGTATCCATTGGCTCACAAATCATAACATTTCGGTTACGTTTGCCGCTAAATTATACCAAGGGAGCCGGAGCTGCTACTGGAGCTACTGCTGCTGCTTGCTACTACCGCACACACACACAATATGGCAGTAAATCAAATTTTATATTTCCCCCAAAAAGAAGTAACACGGCAGAGAGCTGGAGAGGAACTTAAGGGGCAGGCAGGCGCGGGCACTGGCACTGGCACAGGCACAGTCACAGGCAATAGTTCCCTCCGCTCAGTGCCCACATATGGCGTCGATAAATTAAAATTTTCCAAAGTGGAGGCAGGCCTGGGGTGGGGGTGGGGGCCCCACAGTGAAAGAGAGTTATGCCCTTGCATTTTGACAGCTAGCCGCCCTACCTGACAATTTATTGTATTATATGGCTCCCACACTCTGCAAGAGGAACACACTCTGACCTGGCCAGGGCTCTGGTTCAGGCTCTGGCTATGACTCTGGCTCTGGTCACCATCTCATTCTCTCTATGGGAGTCATAAAAAAATATGCCATAAACTTTGGGGCTTTCCCACACCCACACATACCCACACACACGGCACACATCAATAATTCTTTCATAAATGTCCATTTCGCCACATATAGCCGAGAATCGAATCGTTATGGCTGGGATATGCGGTGGATGCAGATTGGGAATGAAAATCGTGCTTATATATGTATGTATGATGTATATGTATAGGTGTACATATATACTCGTAAGTGATGTTCACGTTCAATGCTTTTGACAAGCAGAGTATGAAGATCTCTCGCTTGGAACCCACAGGGACCCACCCTCCTCCTCCTGCATCTCTCTGTTACACTTTTTATTTTCATTTATTTTATTTTTTCCCCCTTGCAGGTGAAAGCCACCGCCATCGCGTTGGCCATTATAGTGGTTCCCTCTAGCCGCGTCCATTTATCATTGGAGGTTACCACCATCCATCCCACCCCCACCCATCCAATCCATTCAACCAGGCTGGACTTGTCACCCAACCTCATGCAGAAACATACAGAAACGACGCGAAACGAAAGGAAAAGAAAAATGGGCAAACGGGCCCACTGGTACTGGTGGGTTTTGTGGGTGGCATACAATTTATTGGTTGGGGATTTTGTGGAAAATATTTCTTCTACCGTTTGCAAATTTATTTTTCCTGCAAAATAATGGAGATGAAAAATCGCCAAAAGATATAAAAATATTACAATGCAAAGAGTGAAAGAAAAAAACACAAAGAAAAAATAAAAATAAATGAAGAACCGAAAGTTCGAATAAAATATGAGTGTTCCTTTTTTTTTTGTTGTTGGTTGCAGGGAAACTGTTGAGGTGCTACTAGCCAATTGGCAAAGAAAACCCCCACAAAACACACACACAGACACACACACACAAGAGATATACTGTGTAGTCTACCCCGAGGTCTGCTACTTAGTCACAGTGCCACCATCTTGGCAGCCATTAAAATCGCCGACTTGTTGTACCTCTGCCGCGTGATAAGTGTTGACTGCATATTTAAAATGCAGACATGCAGACAGCAAGCAGTCCTGTGCGAAACCAGGTAAAATCGTAATTCACTGAAATTTACGATTGCAGCACCACCACCGACAGCAGCAGCAGCAGCAGCAGCAGGCAGCAGCGACACCAGCAAAAGCAAATGGAACAAAAACAAGTAAAATGCTAAGCACTTGCACGAGAAAAAGAAAAACGTAACGAACAAGGTGTACTCTATGGTATGACAGGAAAATGGGTTTATTTTTCAGTTCATTAATGCATTAATTTATTTGATTTTTAAAAGTAATTTCAGAGGAAAGTTTAGTTTCAGTGTTACAAAATGGTTTCCAGCAGTGTTGCATAATTAACTGTGTGTATATTCTGAGTGTTAAGATGGACTTGCAGTGTTGGAGAGCTCATTGTGGCATCACATTTGAGTTTTTTAATGTCTAAAATACAAAATTTATTTAACATCTTTGCTTTAGATAGCAACGCATTATATTTTCTTGCAAACTGCAGTGTTGCATAACGTTTAAAATCAGTGTTTG